ATACTGATATACACCTGAACATCAGCAGGAGAGGACTCTTTAAAGTAGAGACACCACATACTGATATACACCTGAACATCAGCAGGAGAGGACTCTTTAAAGTAGAGACACTACATACTGATATACACCTGAACATCAGCAGGAGAGGACTCTTTAAAGTAGAGACACTACATACTGATATACACCTGAACATCAGCAGGAGAGGACTCTTTAAAGTAGAGACACTACATACTGATATACACCTGAACATCAGCAGGAGAGGGACTCTTTAAAGTAGAGACACTACATACTGATACACACCTGAACATCAGCAGGAGAGGACTCTTTAAAGTAGAGACACTACATACTGATATACATCTGAACATCAGCAGGAGAAGACTCTTTAAAGTAGAGACACTACATACTGATATACACCTGAACATCAGCAGGAGAGGACTCTTTAAAGTAGAGACACTACATACTGATATACACCTGAACATCAGCAGGAGAGGACTCTTTAAAGTAGAGACACCACATACTGATATACACCTGAACATCAGCAGGAGAGGACTCTTTAAAGTAGAGACACTACATACTGATATACACCTGAACATCAGCAGGAGAGGACTCTTTAAAGTAGAGACACTACATACTGATATACACCTGAACATCAGCAGGAGAGGACTCTTTAAAGTAGAGACACCACATACTGATATACACCTGAACATCAGCAGGAGAGGACTCTTTAAAGTAGAGACACTACATACTGATATACACCTGAACATCAGCAGGAGAGGACTCTTTAAAGTAGAGACACTACATACTGATATACACCTGAACATCAGCAGGAGAGGACTCTTTAAAGTAGAGACACTACATACTGATACACACCTGAACATCAGCAGGAGAGGACTCTTTAAAGTAGAGACACTACATACTGATATACACCTGAACATCAGCAGGAGAGGACTCTTTAAGTAGAGACACTACATACTGATATACACCTGAACATCAGCAGGAGAGGACTCTTTAAAGTAGAGACACTACATACTGATATACACCTGAACATCAGCAGGAGAGGACTCTTTAAAGTAGAGACACTACATACTGATACACACCTGAACATCAGCAGGAGAGGACTCTTTAAAGTAGAGACACTACATACTGATATACATCTGAACATCAGCAGGAGAAGACTCTTTAAAGTAGAGACACTACATACTGATATACACCTGAACATCAGCAGGAGAGGACTCTTTAAAGTAGAGACACCACATACTGATATACACCTGAACATCAGCAGGAGAGGACTCTTTAAAGTAGAGACACTACATACTGATATACACCTGAACATCAGCAGGAGAGGACTCTTTAAAGTAGAGACACTACATACTGATATACACCTGAACATCAGCAGGAGAGGACTCTTTAAAGTAGAGACACTACATACTGATATACACCTGAACATCAGCAGGAGAGGACTCTTTAAAGTAGAGACACTACATACTGATACACACCTGAACATCAGCAGGAGAGGACTCTTTAAAGTAGAGACACTACATACTGATATACATCTGAACATCAGCAGGAGAAGACTCTTTAAAGTAGAGACACTACATACTGATATACACCTGAACATCAGCAGGAGAGGACTCTTTAAAGTAGAGACACCACATACTGATATACACCTGAACATCAGCAGGAGAGGACTCTTTAAAGTAGAGACACTACATACTGATATACACCTGAACATCAGCAGGAGAGGACTCTTTAAAGTAGAGACACTACATACTGATATACACCTGAACATCAGCAGGAGAGGACTCTTTAAAGTAGAGACACCACATACTGATATACACCTGAACATCAGCAGGAGAGGACTCTTTAAAGTAGAGACACTACATACTGATATACACCTGAACATCAGCAGGAGAGGACTCTTTAAAGTAGAGACACTACATACTGATATACACCTGAACATCAGCAGGAGAGGACTCTTTAAAGTAGAGACACCACATACTGATATACACCTGAACATCAGCAGGAGAGGACTCTTTAAAGTAGAGACACTACATACTGATATACACCTGAACATCAGCAGGAGAGGACTCTTTAAACATTCATTTGGTAAATAATATGTATTTTGATGTTGTTGTGTTTGTGAGAGCAGACTGGATGAATCTAAATCTGAAGGATAAATGGATGAATGTCTAAAATCAGAACAGGCCACAAATCCTGACGACGGTAAAGAGGGCTCGGTCCTCAATCTGGGCATTACCATGATCCCTGAGTGTGTGTGTGTGTGTGTGTGTGTATACACGTGTGTGTGTGTGTGTGTGTGTGTGTGTGTGTGTGTGTACACGTGTGTGTGTGTGTGTGTTGACTCACCTGTGTCTGAGTGTTCCCAATTTAACCAGTTTAACATCTGTTTGTCTTTGATTTTGAGCTTCATCTGCTTTTCTTTTCACGAGTTAGTTTCACTTTTATGGGTCAAATACAAAAATGACATCATATGATCTGATGTCTCTAATCCAAAACCAAACGTCATCCTGCTTTAATATTTAAAGGTCAACCCAACAAAACAAAAAAGGCTTTTTAAAGCAAGGCGAGTAGTTTCCAACTGATTATGAAACAGTCTTGGTGAAATGCTGAAGCCTCGATATCAAATACATTAATAAAAACATTGTATACCTTTTAAATAGCTGTTACCAGGATGCATAGCAATGAGGTGATATATATATTTGCAGCTATGTCAGATTAACAACTCATATGAGGATGGTGAAAATAAGACGATTGTTAACAACAAAATACAACATTTCAATGGTTTCCTCTCCTGTAGTGTGTTCTATAGGTTTTAGTGCATGTAAATGGTCTGCAAAGGCTTACATATGTGTGTTCCCTCCAGAGGAAGTGTCTCTTCCACATAAATATAAAATGTAAATCACTGTTTCCTCGAAATAGACTTTCCTGTGCATTCCCAACCGGACCGCAGTGATTGTTCTAATTATATTGTGAAGCCATTGTTTTAAGCTTATTTTATTGTAATGTTGCGCCAGCCATAATAACATTTAGTACAACACCCTAGCTATTATGAACATTTTTTAAATTAATAAAACTTCCTAACTTCATAGAGAGGTACAGGAAAGAGTCCTAAAACCCAGATAAGTCAGCAACTTAGCACTTCCTGCACAACATTACCGCCTTTAGCTTAGCGGTGGTGATGTGAAGTCATGTGACCGTGCTGTAGTTCCTTTATAGTCCAACATTAGCCTCCTTTATCTTAGCGGTGGTGACGTGAAGTCATGTGACCGTGCTGTAGTTCCTTTATAGCCCAACATTAGCCACCTTTAGCTTAGCGGTGGTGACGTGAAGTCATTTGACCGTGCTGTAGTTCCTTTATAGCCCAACATTAGCCACCTTTAGCTTAGCGGTGGTGACGTGAAGTCATGTGTCCGTGCTGTAGTTCCTTTATAGCCCAACATTAGCAGCCTTTAGCTTAGCAGTGGTGAGGTGAAGTCATGTGACCGTGCTGTAGTTCCTTTATAGCCGAACATTAGCCACCTTTAGCTTAGCGGTGGTGACGTGAAGTCATGTGTCCGTGCTGTAGTTCCTTTATAGTCCAACATTAGCCGCCTTTAGCTTAGCGGTGGTGACGTGAAGCCATGTGACCGGGCTGTAGTTTCTTTATAGCCCAACATTAGCCACCTTTAGCTTAGCGGTGGTGACCGTGCTGTAGTTCCTTTATAGCCCAACATTAGCCGCCTTTAGCTTAGCGGTGGTGACGTGAAGTCATGTGACCGTGCTGTAGTTCCTTTATAGCCCAACATTAGCCAGCCTTTATCTTAGCGGGAGTGATGTGAAGTCATGTGACCGTGCTGTAGTTCCTTTATAGCCGAACATTAGCCACCTTTAGCTTAGCGGTGGTGACGTGAAGTCATGTGACCGTGCTGTAGTTCCTTTATAGCCCAACATTAGCCACCTTTAGCTTAGCGGTGGTGACGTGAAGTCATGTGACCGTGCTGTAGTTCCTTTATAGCCCAACATTAGCCACCTTTAGCTTAGCAGTGGTGACGTGAAGTCATGTGACCGTGCTATAGTTCCTTTATAGCCCAACATTAGCCACCTTTAGCTTAGCGGTGGTGACGTGAAGTCATGTGTCCGTGCTGTAGTTCCTTTGTAGTCCAACATTAGCCGCCTTTAGCTTAGCGGTGGTAACGTGAAGCCATGTGACCGTGCTGTAGTTCCTTTATAGCCCAACATTAGCCACCTTTAGCTTAGCGGTGGTGACGTGAAGTCATGTGTCCGTGCTGTAGTTCCTTTGTAGTCCCAACATTAGCCGCCTTTAGCTTAGCGGTGGTAACGTGAAGTCCATGTGACCGTGCTGTAGTTCCTTTATAGCCCAACATTAGCCACCTTTAGCTTAGCGGTGGTGAACGTGAAGTCATGTGACCGTGCTGTAGTTCCTTTATAGCCCAACATTAGCCTCCTTTAGCTTAGCGGTGGTGACGTGAAGTCATGTGACCGTGCTGTAGTTCCTTTATAGCCCAACATTAGCCTCCTTTAGCTTAGCGGTGGTGACGTGAAGTCATGTGACCGTGCTGTAGTTCCTTTATAGCCCAACATTAGCCACCTTTAGCTTAGCGGTGGTGACGTGAAGTCATGTGACCGTGCTGTAGTTCCTTTATAGCCCAACATTAGCCTCCTTTAGCTTAGCGGTGGTGACGTGAAGTCATGTGACCGTGCTGTAGTTCCTTTATAGCCCAACATTAGCCTCCTTTAGCTTAGCGGTGGTGACGTGAAGTCATGTGACCGTGCTGTAGTTCCTTTATAGCCCAACATTAGCCTCCTTTAGCTTAGCGGTGGTGACGTGAAGTCATGTGACCTTGCTGTAATTCCTTTGTAGCCTAACATTAGCTTTTTACTTCAGAAATCATAAAGTGGTGTTAATATGTGCTGAACAAAACGTGTCAGTATCATAAACGTTTCTTTGACACAGAGATTATTTTTCTTATTTTGCTCACCTTCTGCAGCAGCTGGGAGCCGGAGTATTTGGTGGTTAATTCTCGAAGCTGAACGGAAAACACCGACGCCCACTGCTGCACCCTGAAACACAGAGAGAGGAGGCGGATAAATACAACGAGAGGGAGGGAAGACCTGCAAGAAAACAGCATCACTATAATCTGTAGTCAACATGTAAACAAAAACAGTGGCCTCAATATAGAGCATACATACATGCTTAAAATCATGCATATAGTGGGAGTTATGGTACTTTATTATTTGTATTTCCATGTCATGGCAAACACATGGCCCAAAACAACTTTTTTGTGTAGGTATTACTAACTTTTGTTGCACATAGGTTTCCTTAAACATGATGACATTGTAATTTCACAGCATGTCTACGTTTGTTTTGTCATCAACTTGAGTGTAATAAAGTTGGTTGACAAAATAGAAAAATTACAATAAAGAAATAGATATGACAATGTGTGTGTGTGTGTGTGTGTGTGTGTGTGTGCGCGTGTGTGTGTGTGTGTGTGTGTGTGTGTGTGTGTGTGTCTTTGGCCTGCAGCAGAGGTGAGTTAGGACAGAAAAAGGCAAATAAATGTCACGCTGATGAAGCAGATTTAGATAATCTGTTCTTCATCTGGGTCACAGCGGAGAGCTGCAGGTGTCTGCAACACACACACACAAGCACACACACACACACACACACACACACACACACACACAACACACACACACACACACACACACACACACACACACACACACACACACACCACACACACACACACACACACACACACACACACACACACACACACACACACACACACACACACACACACACACACACACACACACACACACACACACACAGTGCAGTAGACACTTTTAGGACATTAGCTAAAGTTTAAGTCATGGTGCGTGTCATAACTAATCCTTTTCAAAAAGGTGAACATATATTTGATGCATGAAGGCCACCATCACTTTGGTTGCCCAAAAAATTCAAAAAGCTGCTCAGAAATGACAACAACTTAACTACTGAGTAGCAAGCTCTTCCCTAATATCTCAACACTTGTATTAAATGTGTGACTCAGCTGCTGTTATGGAGGGACAGGATTTACTGAGTTGCACAACATTTAAAGGGGCCCAATTCTACTCATGTTTAGGGTCGTATTTGCCTTTTCTGCCGCTACTCAGTAGAGACATGTCCCAGTAGAGTTTACAGTAGACTCTACAGTAGACTCTACAGTAGAGTCTACTGTAGAGTCTACTGTAGAGTCTACAGTAGACTCTACTGTAGACTCTACAGTAGACTCTACAGTAGACTCTACTGTAGAGTCTACTGTAGACTCTACAGTAGACTCTACTGTAGACTCTACTGTAGACTCTACAGTAGACTCTACAGTAGACTTTACAGTAGAGTCTACTGTAGACTCTACAGTAGACTTTACAGTAGAGTCTACTGTAGACTTTACAGTAGACTCTACTGTAAAGTCTACAGTAGACTCTACTGGGATATGCCTCTACTCAGTAGAGACATGTCCCAGTAGAGTCTACTTTAGAGTCTACAGTAGACTCTACTGGGACATGTCATTTGTTTTTGTTCAAAATCACACATTTGAACCAACTTTTTGGGTTGATTGTGCCAACCAGCGTCCACACATGAAAGCATCTGCAGTTTGAATTATATAGGAATTGCTTTTATGGAAACCTAAACTATAGAAAGGCTTTTTGTTACTTTTAAGTGAACAACACCAGAAAGGTAATTACAGTTGTTATAATACCTAAGTTGTAAACTGGGAGCCTTTTTGATGAATGAACCCCCTTTGTTTTATGTAACATCTGTTCTTCTGTAGCCACGCTGCGTGCTGTTATTTTGTTGTTGTTTGTTCTGTTTGTCCACAACATAATGCATTTCTTTATCTCTATGACCAGGTGACACGGCTCTCTGTGTTTAGGCCTGGAGATGAGGGTCGGGGGGGAAGGTGACCCGGCAGCTGCAGCTAAACTTAATGCTATCGCTAACACTGTCTGACAGCTTGATGCTAATGAGGCCGTTAGCATTAGCGAGGTAAACTCAAGGACTGTCTGACAAGTGAGCTCTGGGAATCACAGTTAAACATGTGGAATGAGGACGAGTTACTGCAAAGTTCAAATAGGCAGCTTTACTGTAACATCTTGTAAAATGGCTTTCTCTACACATTTACTACAGTTATCTGCCACGACTTTACTCTCGACATATTCCTCTTATCTTTCGTAATACTTCTACGTATCTCTTTCTTGATAGTTCACAGTTTTCTGTATTTTCTAACGGCACAGTTCTTCTGGTTTCTTTCGTTTTTCTGTCCCTCATGTTTTCCTGTTAGCCTCCTTTTCAGAGTTTAGATCTGGAAAGTGAGGACGCTGTGGATGTTTTTTGAACTCTTTAACCAGTTTAGCCCTGAGCCTGTTTTTCAGGTCTCAGGCTCGAAAATGACATTCCCAGAACAAATGACCATATCTTCTAAAAGGGTTACATTAATAATCTTTTTTCTCAAAGTTATGATAAACCTGTGAGTTGGATGTAGAAAAGTCAGAATCAATATAGATGTTTTTTATTTTAAAGAAAATTCAGATTGAACATAGTAAAAAACTGTAAATTATTGTGTCCGTCCAAAAATTATTTTTTACTTATAGTGAAAACTAACCTTGGATGATGGGTTAGTAGACTAAAAGCTTTAAGAATCCAAAGTACAACATATAAGTACCCTGTATCAAGATTGATGCAAAACAAGTGACATTTGCCCTTTTTAGAGAGGTTTAGCAAAAAACCCACCTCTGAGTTGATTTGGGTGGAAA